AATTCGAATGTATTCTTTATTAGTTAAACTATACTTCTGGAAAACTATATAGAAATGCATTTAATTAGTGCTACAACGTATCATAGTTTCTAAAAAACTCAAACATGGTATTTTAAGTTAAAATTATATTATTCATTATTGGAAAATTGTTCTTTTAGTTCAGTAGTATTACAATATAGTGACTGATCTAAAAGTTATAAAAATCATATATAAGCTTACTCATCTCCGTTATTTTAATATTTTGTAATTAGTTTAATACATTGTTATCAGCTCAGTACTCCAGTGGAGGAGGGTTAAGAATAGGGACTTATAACGCTATAATTTGGGGTTTGATTCCCCACAGTAGACAGAGTGCATATATAGATAGCCCTTTGGGTAGTTTTGCAATAAAACCAACAACTTCATGTTTCATTACGAATTTACAATAACTCGACCACAAGTTAATTTGTACTTGTAAAAAATTGAACCGGTAGGTGAAATTGTTTTTAAAAAATATTTGATTTTCAAAACGTCTAACATAATTTACTATGTTGTTATTAGGATAATCTTCTTTTTTTTTATTCAAAGCTAAGCACAAACATTCCTATAAACTAAATATAGTTTTGTATCTTATGTAAACTCATAAAGAAAAAAATACTCCCTGGTATTTGAGGGGATATTATCACAGAGCAAAACATAAACATAATCTATTTGCACATCGGATGCGTTAGCTCAGATCTGTTAATGCTACATTAAAACTACAAATGTACATTATTTATTCTGAATACTCTTTGTGATTCAATTTTACTGTAGTTTATTTTTCAGGTAGTTTTAAATATACATTGGCGGGCAGATATTTAGTATCTATTACAAAGAAAAATTTATATCAACTTGATTTTCTTGTTCGTTTGTCGATGTTTTCTTGAAAACAAAGTTACACAATGGGCTATTTGCTTCTGTCCACTGCGATGAATCGAACCCCGGATTTTAGGGTTGTAAATCCGAAAGGTCCCCGCTAACTCACTAAAGGACAATCGCATTACAGCTGAGATCAAACATGGAATATATATATATATATAAGCTGCCAAATCCTTTTAGATTTTCTGTGATAAAAAATATTTCATAGTGTAGACTATATTGGAATATTTGATTTTTTGTGTGTTTTTTCAGGACAGGTTAATGCGCACACAATATGTATTTTTCTTTATAATTGTCGTCTTTTTTAATATGGCCAGGTGGTTAGGGCGCTCGACTAGCGGGTTCGAATCCCCGTCACACCAAACATGCTCGCCCTTTCAGCTGTGGGGGCGTTATAATGTGAATGTCAATCCCACTATTCGTTGGTAAAAGAGTAGCCAAACAGTTGGCGGTGGGTGGTGATGACTAGCTGCCTTCCCTCTAGTCTTACACTGCTAAATTAGGGACGGCTAACGCAGATAGCTCTCGTGTAGCTTTGCGCGAAATGAAAAAAACACTCTTAGAAGTAAAACATTACCTCTTGAATTTCCAGTTTTTCATTCGACAGATAATAGCCATTTTGCACATTCTTGTGATTATCCACTGTAGTTATAACCTAGTTTCTGTAACCAATGAAGTTCTTATAGAAAAGTAAATGATATTATATCATAGAAATACTAGTTGATGATTTCAGTGTTAGTGACGAAATGGTATTGATTATCAAGTACAAAGGTGTAAACTACTGTGTTGTTGTTGTTGAATTAGTAGCAAGGCTTCTCGAGGGATGCTTACGTTGGCTGGCTGTTCTTAATTTTGAAGTGATAGACTAGAGCAGGGGTCACCAAACTTTTTTTTACAGCGGGCCAGATAACTGAGAGAATGACGAGCGCGGGCTGCATAAACATTTTGTTCAAAACAATACGGTGAATACACAAAAAAATAAAGACAACAAACATGTTTATTTTCCAAAAAATTATCAAAGAAGGCGACGTTAGCAATAAGACAGTTATATCACACCCAGT